GTTGCACTTGTACCGTTCTAGGTTCGCTGGTACTTGATGTGTAGCTTCAAACAGGATAATGTTAAGCATACTCTTGCGTTTTATGGGCTAACTTTGTAGTTATAATAGGCCCATAAAAACTGCAATATTTCGCGATTAAATGACGATAGCACGATGAACTTTTGTTTTTCTGCGTATTGCTCGTCCACGGTTGACGCAGTCCTTTCGAATAGGCCAAGTTTTCGGCGGAAATCTTCATTTCCAGATCCTAAAAAGTCAAAACATGTCATCGAAGCAGTTACTTTGAAGATGAAATCCAGGATCGAACTGGTCTATTACTGCGATTTCCAGTGACAGTAGGAATGTGAAGTGTAACTACAGCATTGGAAAAACGGGAAGAGACCGTCGACAAAGGCGTGAATAGAACCTCTCCAGTATCAGCAAAGCAAAATAGCACTAGTTTGTGGGTGGGCTGAATGGTGGTGGGCGGGAAGTGCTGCATCCTAGGGGCTTGGCGCCTCAGCCTTGTCAAATCATTCCAAAAGTTGTGATCGTTCTTTCCGTTTGCAGACCCCTACACTTTTCTAAGGTAAAATCTTAATTTCGACCAGGAGTCCCGACTCTGGTCTCCTGGTCTCCCGACCTGGAGTCCAGACTTTGCTTTTAGCGATCAAGCGGGTGTGGTTCTTGCCATGAATATGAAAGCTTTGGCGCGAAATGGGCCGCCAGCAAAGAAAGAAGGAGAACAATCTGTGGAAGACGCTTAAGTCAAGGGCTTGCTCACCTTCGTGATGCGCTGAGCAAAGGCAATAGAAGCAGAGAGGTGAGTATGAGGCGAGAGAGCGCGACTATGAGAGCGTATCAGACAGCAGCTTGCTGCGGACGGGAACATTGCAGCTGCTGCAGCTAACTTTCGCAAGGCCCTAGCACCCTTGTCGGAGGATTCCTATACACGGGAGTGTCACATCGGTAATTGTCTCTCTGGAGCCTATCTTGAAGAATCAGCTGCGCCGCTTACACGGGGAAGACAATTCGTGGTAACTGGGGAACGTTCACCCAATGGCTTCGGACCACATCGGAATGAAGGAAACCATTTGACCGACTTCTGCCTGGGTTGTGTCTTTAAGTTTAAATATCGTGCAGTGATGCTTTATGTGTTTTCAGCACCGAGCCTAAGAGGGCCTTCCAGGACCCTGTGTGCCCTTATGACTCTCAGTTGTACGCATACGTAGTACAGAAGTGTATCAAATGTAAGCGAGCGAACGTCGAAAGGGTGAATCCCTGCGTGGTAGGAAAGGACGAATTTTTCCTAAGCTTCCACCCCTGCGATCGCTGGATCTAGAGGTAAGGTCATCTGAACTACTCAAAACGCGTAGAGGGAGCGCTGGAAGCTCAGAATTTGCAACCATGGGCACCTCATGTAACCATGCACCCCCATCCTTGTAGTATCTGTCGTCTCGCTCATCGCTTTGTTCTCTCGTCTCCGCCTCTCGTTCTCTCACCTCGGCACCAAGTATCTTTCACGCGGCTGTATCTCCCATACCCTCCTGCCTCACAGGGCAAACCGCTCCATTTTAGGCGTTTTCAGTCTTCTTCCCTTTTTTCGACACTGATAATTTGAATAACTCCTACAGTATGTAGTTAACTCCATTACTCCCATGTCTTTGCCATCGTGGACTGTGCCTTTACGTTTGATGAACCTATGTGCTCAGACGCTTATCCATAATCTTTACTGATCTCCTGTTGAACTGTATGCTTTACAAGAGGTTACAGCAGTGATACGAGTGTTTTGTGCGCTGGCGCGCTGTGGTGTGGATCTCGCTTTGTTTGCGCTATGCCGACGGCTTTTTAATCCATTCGGTACCATTTGCTAAGCCAACAGCACGTCATCGTTTTTCTCATCAATATTCATTACTATCCAGTTGAATTCTAACACCCGTTGAGAACAACGGCATTCCGATATTCATTTTCTCGATTTCGGAAATCGTCACCGCCATGCCGCAGTCTACTCGTCCAATTTCTCATCGCCTTTCCAATGTTTACAGTTTTGCCCAAACTACCTCTAGAACGGAGTACTGTAGTTTTCACGCACCTCATATCGTAAAACAGAAAACATTCTGGAAGACATCCATTAATAACGAAACTTAAAGGCAGGCTCTAGGATAAAACTAATGATAAGAGCACTTCGTAGTGATGACTGAGCTGTGGGACGGCTTGAAAGCGGAAAGGAAAGCTAGAGAAATCTTTTCAGATCGCTGAAGTTAAGGTCTTAATCCTCAAAAAAGTCGGATGTGGGATAATGGCGAGGCAGGACGATCAATTCAATCAAGCGTTGCAACGGTGCTGGTCAATGGTTGCAGGCCCGTAAGGATTAGCGCCTAACCGCGCAATTTTTGATGGCGAAGCTGGAATGATCTAGGTAGGAAGGAACCTTACAATTCCCTCTGGATCCTTCCGTCCACAAGTCGGGCTAACTCCCGGGGTTTGCCTTCTAATGGAGACGGTAGAGAGCGTACGGTACATGCCATAAAACTTGAAAATTCAAGCCAAAAACACGATTTCGCGCTTCGTTTTTTGCATTTTTTGTTACACTCGGTTCATATTTGAGCGCCATTGACATCAACTTGTCCAGATATTGAAAAATGCTTCTTAAGTTTCGAAAGAGCTCCATTCCGGGATTGCGACATGCACTTGGATTTCATCCCGTAAAGTAGTTTGTTAGTGTGTGATGCGTGTATAGTTCTACTCATGCAACCTGATCGCGCTATAGAGATCTGGGTTTTGACACTCCCCTTACCATTAGAGTGCCACAAACTCTACTTCATTCACTAGCTTGGGAGATTAATGGAAAATTTTTCCCGTTTCCGTTCATACTTTTTTCTTTTTCGGAATAAAATGATCTGTTAGATCGCAGAAGAACACTTCTTGCTTCAACTGATCCTGAACTTTATCGCGTCATGCCCTGGTAAGAAGATCAGATTTTTAGGTTTTTAGGCAATCTTACAAAACCTGGGATGTTCATTGATCGATTACACATAAAAATGCTATCCAGTGATATGCCTAACAATTCGCCATCAAAACTTTCACTTTATAACCGTTTTTGAGTTGACGCAGATTAACTCCCTTAGCCCTTTACGGGCACGTGCGAATCACTTGCGCTGTCCGTTACTGCCATCAACGAGTTGATGGTTTGAGTTCAACGGTACTTTCAGATTTGGACATACTCAACTTTAAACGCAGTTGTGAAGAAAAAAAAAACAAAAAACGTGATTTCGCGTTTTCCGCGTAAAATTTTGAACGACTAGTAGGTAGTTCGTAGCACGCTGTATGTAGAGAATACTCGTTCTTGTTGTATTGAACAGAATCTCTTCTTTTTTGGGGTGATCCATTTCTGTGCCGCATTTTTTTGCAGACTGACATCTGAATACATGTTGTTTCCCGCATCTGCGCATGTGTAATTGCAGACTTAGTAACACACGTTTTTTAGTCATTTATCTCGATAACATTAAAGCCTGGGCGGAAGTGGTGCAGTGACAAGTGGCGCGCTCACCACGCGAGCGGTCCGGGATCAAATCCTGGGTCGTGAGTCGCCCGGGCCAACCAAGCCTTCCATCCCTCCGGGGTCGGTTAATTGGTACCAGACTTGTCTGGGAGGATAAAAACACTGACTTGAACATCGGCTGGCCCCCGCAAGTCATTGTATAGGCCACATCGCATTCAAACGCCACTACGAATGTACAAATGGAAGTAGAATGCGTGCCGCATCCCAAAAAGGGATTGATCAACGGCAAATGCTTTATCCTTTATCCTTTTTAACTTAAGTCACGTGATCTTGATTTTTGTATACATTTACTACCAGGTGTGCACTTACGACATGGCCGAAGGGAAACAAGATACACATGTACCGGCAAGTCCTATGTCCTTATTTATGAGGATAAGGAAGAGGGCTTTTGACTTTGGCTTTTGACCTGCCCTCCTTCGCGAACTCCCACTCTTTTTTTCGGTCTCTGAACTGTTCCGAACTGAATTACAAGGTTTCGTGGCAAACCCACTCCTGGCAACTTTGGTGCACACTCCACCCAACAACTAGCGCTGACCTTTCCCCCCCCTCTCAGCCCTTTATTTCCTTTTTTCCCGCTTTCTTTTAAGGCCTTCTCAGAACCAATATTGGAATCCGATTATGAGTACCTGTAAGAAACGTTGTTCACTTACGAACATGCGCCGTCACTTAGTGGGCGGACCTTCACTTACGACGACATACATGTATGTTGTAGGAAATACCTTAGACATTGCTCTTCCACACCAATTTTTTTTCTGCTCTGTAGGCTTTCTCCAAAGCGAATTATGAATTTTTTCATAAAGCGCTGCTTTTTTGGAGAACGCCCGCCCATTGGAGGTGGGCTCCTGGTCCTGCTTTTTTGAAATTTGAAATTTTCATGAGAAAACGCATCCATTCTGCGAGCGAGCGGTAGATAATTTCGATACCTTCTTCCGATTCACTTCGCAATTTGCTGATTCCCTCTCATTCAACGGTTTTGGGAGCACATTTTGTTGGAATTGTAGTGGCTTTTTTATGCGATTTGGCATTTACTACCACTTCCGGGCACCAGCCGGAATACCATTCAGTTTTAACTCTCATACAAACCCGCAACTCGAAGGGATGGGTCGCTTGTTCGGCCTAGGATATCTAGGATTTGATCTTCTGACCATGCGCATAAGAGCTGCTTTTGCGCTACACCTTTCGGCCCACTAAAATATTGTTCGAAGCCAAGCAAATTTCCATCAAACCACCCACCAGTCGCCCACAGTGCTGTATGAATTTTACCATGATTCTTCTTCTGATTCTTACTTTGAACAGAACTTCAGCACCGCTATAGCACTTTGAAGATGTTCTCTTTGTTCTTCTTTCCATTTTCGTGCGCCATATCAGTTTCAAAGTTCGTTAGCACGCCAAACCAGAAAACTCGTCCAGGTTGTGTGCGCATGGAACGCATGCGTACATTGGAGCGTGTCGTTGAGAGACCCGTATTGATCTCTTGGAATGGGAATCACCAACCCCAAAAGAGGACTGCGCCTCATGTCGGGCACTCGACTGCGACATCATTTTCGCACTTCTCTTCACAATGGTCATTGCCTGCTTGTTGGTGCTGATTATGGTGTTCTGGTTGAAAGGGCGTGCTACAGTACGAGGAGTAAGTTTGGCTATCCTATAGCGAAGTTCTCATCGTTACTCTTTGTTCAAAGGTACATCTCATAATTGAATAGGTGAATGTAATTGCGTCCAAAAACTGAAGTATTTACGTTTTTTGGTCCGCTAGGTGATCAAAGGTAGTGAAAAAGCAGTCTCAATATTTGCTTCCTTTGCCGTATTTTGGCGTTATTTAGTTTTATTTTTTTCAAAGAATGTTAAGTTAGGTGAGATTCTGGCAGGGGGCGGGGCGTAAACCCTGCCAATGCAACATGGTTCCAAAGATTCGGCTTTTTTGCTGCTTTCGTTTATCTGTGGATCGGTTACCGCGACTATGTTACTTTCGAACAATACCAATTCGATGGCGGAATGTGCCTTTAAGTTCATTTACAACAAGAAGATGTGAGTTATGGGGCCCATATGTATATAATATGAATTGACAACGAAAAAGAAGCGGGTAGAAATCAGTCAAAACTGCTCCAAAAGGGCGGTGCGGTTACAGTTTGCTGCCTCGGCCGTCTGGTCACCTAAAAATGAGCACACACATATTGCTTCGTAGCAAGCTTAGGACTAAAACTTAACCGAGCTGCATTGCAGGCTTACATAAGCTGAATTGTATAAGCTAAAACTTAGGCCTGACAGCCCAAGACTCCACGCCTAACCTTTAGGGCTTCAGTGATCGCGTTATCTCTGGCTGATCCGTTCTCAGGCGGGGAGACCTGAACATCAGGACGAGAAGTGAACTTCAGGAGAGAGCTGAACGTCGCCCCTCCCCCAAATGTGATCCCTTCGTAGTTGATCAAGGATTGTGCCAGCCTGTCGACAAAAAGCGGTGCTGTTGCGAAGAGAGACTCTGATAACGAAGAAACAAGAAAGGCCAGAAACACGAGGAGAGGGCGTGAGCTATCATCTCACGCTGCACCTGCGGACCAGTCTGCCTCATCGAAGAAGTACATTGTAATACTCATGACCGTAGAATGGCCGTTAATCTTCGTGATTTGGAATTCATTCAAAAATGACTGTAACCCATTTCTCATAGTTTCTGAATCTTTCTGGCCTTGGAACATAGACTATCCTACGGTTGGTTCTTAGTAACAACGGGGGTTTCGTACCTCGTTGAGTTTCATCAAGAGGGGGGGGGTCGTATCCGTGGGAGCGCATGGGCAGAAAAATCGTATCAAGTCCACTTTGGGGGAGGATGGGTCGTAAAAATTTTCGAAAAGTAGAACGAATAGGACTGACCCTGCTTTGGAACCCATAGACTATCCTTTCAGGATGATGCAGTTGAAATAAATTATCGAAAATATCAGCTGGTGCGTGCTAGCACGATGCACAGGAAAATCCAGCTACAGTGCTAATTGCAATCAGCTAAAACTATTAGTTTCATAGGATCAAAATGCAACAGTCATGTAGCAGAGCGTTCTTTCAACCGCAGCGCGACAGCGCGCGTCTGCTCCCGTCAATGACAGAGTGAACGCCTGGAGGAGATGAAGCACCGGAAAAGGGTCCCAGCATTAATCTCGGCAGCAGCAACATCCACTGATTCCAATAGTATTGAAATAGTACGTATAGGCGAGTGGAACACTTCAGAATGTGATCGAGTTTTTGACGAGAAGAATCCGAAAGGGGGAGTTTCGTTTCCCGCTCCTACCCAAGGAGCCCACTGATAATTCCATACAGCGGAATATAACCCTACCTCGGAATTTGCAGGTCGGTGCGGTCGGTTGAGCATTTTTGAGATCCACAAGATTTTTCAGCTCTACTAAATCTAAGCCTTATGTTCGATTTCAGTGTGTATACACGTTTGTCGCGGGACCGAGGCAACGCGTAAAGTTGGAATTTGAGCACTTTCATCTTGCCGGCAGTTCTGAAAGGTGAGATTTTCACTGGTTTCTGCGGCGCGAATTCAGTTCGGTACTATCAAATATTTGTTTGCAATCGGTAGCGGTGCTGCAGCACTTTCTAAAGTCTATGTTTCGCTCAACTGAAATGGGATGTGATGCACAGTGAAGTACTCCGCAGCCTCACGCTCAGTTTCCACATATTTCGGCCAACACCCCACTAACTGAAGGAGTTTAGATATTCATCCCACCTATGGAAGTCCGAAAATGTGCTAAAGAATTGAACATATTGCTAACATTCCCACTAATGTGAATCACTGCTGGCGGAAGAGCTGAAAAGTGAAAATCTCGAGTTCCTGAGTCATTCACTCAGTACCTGCTAATCTTCTTTTGCAGTTTTGATAAAGCTTTTGAAAACAGTGTAATACGCTGGATTTGGAAAGGTGTAAAGGCACTTATACGTACGTGCTGATTCAATGGGTAAGTAGGTCTTGTGGTCATACCACTGTTGATGTTTCAGTGAAAAGCATGGATCAATTTCTTTGGGCTATAACTGTCATTAACAATAAATCTTCTCCAGCAATTGAGCTATTTCTTAATGAAAGTTTAGGCGCTAGCTTCAGGTAAGAAGATTGAACATATCTTGAATAAAGAGAGACTGGGCCTCTAAGATACAGGACGTGACATTTTTGTGGTGAAAGGTGTGCTCGTAGTGGCCTGACGCCCTATTTAAACTGGTGAATTGTGTTTGCGGCCGTTTACATCCACATTCCCCAGCTGCTAGCCCCCCGCTTTCGGACTCTAGCCTTTAGGGCCACAGCAAAATGTTCACTTTGATGGCGTCATAACCGATGGAACTCGCCTAACAGGGAAGTTAGCGAGCGGGATAAATTGCTCCGTTTTGCGGGTTTCAGGCCGTTTCTCGTAGTTTTTTCTTCACTGCTACAGGAGGCTCGTCTAAGGCAGAGTCCGCGAACGAGTCGCGTGCGTGATGTGCGATGTAGGACGTGTAATGGTACATTCTATTTGACCTGATGTGTAATCGCTAACGCGCTGCGACCCGTCTGCTAAATCTACAGTGTTGCCGCGCGACGGGCCCCCTGTCGGCTACCCCTGCTGACCTCTTGGCTGCACAATATTTATCTCAGTGGACGACTAATTTATAGTACCATCTGCTTTCAGTGGAGACGATGTTTCTCCTCTGAGGTAGAATTCACTCAGAATTTGAACATGACAGCAGGGGTAATCGTGAAAAGTCAACAAAAATACAAAAATCGACAGAAGACACTTGCGAATCGAGAAGTGAGCCCCGGTTGGCGGGCTTTACAGGCACACCATGCGTTACGCACATAAGCAGAACATGGAACAATCTTACGCATTATTTTGACTGTACGCGGTGGAAAATGCAATATATTCCTCAGAATACTTGTTAAACTGCTTCTATCTAATATTTAGCTCATTCAGCTGCGAAATCGAATATGTAGATATTTATTCGGAACTTGAACGAGTCGAATCGGACCTCTTGTCGGCATCACTCGGAGGGCGATATTGTGGTACTGTATCGCCTCATGTTAGAATAAGGTAAGCACTAATTGAATAAGTACTTGAATTGAACCGTTCAACATCGTGTATATTTTAGCCTTCACCGCGTTCTCGTGCTTGTCTTTCATTCCCGTGCTCGTGAAGTCGATCGACAATTCGGTTTCCGCGGACAGTACTCGTTCATTCCCGACAGTACGTTTATTGATTCTGTACTTACCGTACGCCTTGTTTCCAGCACCTGTGGTGGTCGCAATTGCGGACCCAGCGGCGTAGCGCTTTAAAAGATCGTTATCACGTGTACTTTTTCCCATGCTTCACTCGGTTACGCAACCACTTGAACTTTTCTCCATTCTCTCTGCTCGAAAGGCTAGAGCGCAGTCCGGGTAGAAGACTGCTGTGGCTTCAGCATCTAACATTAAAAGGCAGGGAATCCGTGAACCAGAATATGCAGGGGACCAGAGAGTGAGGAGTGGGAGACGGGGGGGGGGAACAAGCAACTTGACATGAGGCAAAAGCGGAGCGTGCGAGACCACAATTGGTAACAAAAAAAGCAGTCCCAGCAGGGTTTTTACCTTCGACTAATGGTGTGGAACGATGCGCTAGCCCTAGTCAAGAACATAAGAAGTGTGATTGAACAAAAAACTCCTTGGAAAGCCGCTGGAAAGGGAGCTGAACGGCTTCGAAGTGGGCGTGGTTGGGTCGGCCGAGGGGATTGCAGCCGACTGAGCAACCACGCCCACTTCGAAGCCGTTCAGCTCCCTTTCTAGCGGCTTTCTAACAAGATGAGCTTTTTGTTTAATCACACCTCTTGGCTATCGCATCGAACCACCCCATTAGTGTCGAAGGTAAAAACTTTGCTAGGACTGTTGCTTTAAGGGTAGCAAACGTTGGTGAGGGCAGCGCATTTACCCTCCTGGAGGACCGGAGTTCACGTAGCTCGTATACGCTGTCACGCATGCATAGCAATACACACGTAGCATCAGATAACATCGAGGGCACCAAAAAGCACACGTGACATCGAATATCTTGCGGTCGTACTTGCAACGTGCCTGGCTGCAAGATCTGAAGTAACGATAATGGAGAGTAGTCATACTGAAGATTTTTTATGAGCACATTGGATTGGAAATTTTTCCAGCTCAATATCAAGCCGGAACGCCACTTTACGGGGACACGGACGGCTGCAGCTTCATCATCGACGCGACGAAACGTAAAAAAGGCGCTATCTTCTCACCGACATATCCTGGGACTTATCCCAATGTAATGTTAATTCAACGTTCAACTTGTGCTTTTCCCATAAATAAGTCGTTTTTGTGCGGTACTGTGCTTACAATCGAAGAATGTCTATACAAAGCAACAACGCCAGACCAAATTAGGGGGGGGGAATGACAGGGGAGTGTTTGTGAGGTCAATTCAAGGGGTGAATAATTTTATGAACTGGTGCGGTATGCTGATGTTGACGAGAAATAGTGAAGAAGAGTCAAAGCAAATTTAAGGCCTCGATGCAAAAGCAATTGAAAAGGGCTCTCTCTTTTCATTTCGAAATGTCAAGGAATGGGGGGGTGGGGGGAAGCTTTCGGCTGTTAACTTGTCACTTGCCTCTATGTGTGTTTACTTCTGAACTGCGTGGGTCCAATTTGATTTTGCACGCCCACATTGCAATCCAAAAATAGTTAACTGTGCCATTGGGGTGTTGCACGGTTTTCATTCATTAGATTTAACTAGCCGTCATCAACTTACTTTGTAGGGGGCCGGGGGCCTACACCTGCTCCCCCAGCGGACTTTTCGAGCTGCGACTACGAGTAGGGGATCTGTGCGTATAATATTATCATCGTCCTGACAGATGATTGCTGAGTTGAAGCATCACTGTGACGAGGAGATGTCAGACTATCGAATTCTCTGCTCGGGGTATAGTGTAAGATTGAATGAGCCATTTTAGTATACTTTCACGTGCTGGGCTATATTAGCTTCAAAGGGCGGACCTGGTCAACGAGATCCGGAGTTATGTCGCTTTCGCGATTATTCGCGATATCTTACTGGTTGGCTTGTTTGAAAGTGAACGCAGATGGAGTTTGGTTTCGGAGGTGTTTCCTGATAGTGAGGAAACTCAGGTCCATCTCTTGTTCGGAATAATACGTTTCATTTCTGCCTTCTCGTATACGCGAGTTGCGGAACGGCCGTTCACTAGGTTGACGGCGTCGGTGTGCGACAGCTTCGCACTACAAATCTTTTAAAATACGCTCACGTTCTAAATATCGGTCAAAATAAATTAAGGGTTATTATATGAACACTTATGTGTCTTGCCGAAGATGAATGCGACGATTCGCCCACCCTAGGCCCAATGTCCTCCTTGTACGGGCGCACCGTGCGCCTCTGCCATTCGCGTGGGCCAATCGATTGAATGCCGATGCCGGGCAATGCGCCCATTCCGTCAATTGGCGATGTCAGACTTTTGCGATTTGGCGAAGCGATTTTGCACCAATTGCAGGAGCGACGGATCGCTTGAGCGATGCGAGCGACGGGAGATTTACGAACTGATGGCGCCGAATTATCGTTGGTAGGCGGTGTAAATCTCCCGTCGCTCGCATCGCTCAAGCGATCCGTCGCTCCTGCAATTGGTGCAAAATCGCTCCAATCGCAAAGTCTGACATCGGCCATTGGCTCCGGCCCTCCACGGTCGGTACAAACCGTTGTTCGCTTACTGTCGTCGCGGTGAGAGGTCGCGTCGAATCTGTCTTCCTAGCTGCCTAGGTAAGTCATGATAGGTGTGCAACCACTTGCAGCTGAGGTCCCCTGCTTGGACGGGCACTGCGTTGTCCCTGAGGCTGGTAGACGGTGGTAGGCCTATCTTTACTGGGCAACCCAAGGGGACGGGGGACGTCTCCCCTGAGTCCAAGCCGGCGGAGCGCCCGCCGTAGAGCCCATCGTCTTCCACCCCGATCCCCGCCGGAGGCAGCCTATCATCGTGCTCGATAATTCGCCGACAGTAAGGAGCTCAGATGAATGGTCCCGAGCGAGATGGGAGTCTAATGCGTACATCCAGCTGAAGTAGTCCCATATCAGTATTCCTATTCAGAATAGCAGCGGCATTTGAAATTTGTACTGGCTTGTACAATGAATCACAGGGTCAGCCGATGTTACAAGTCAGTGTTTTTTATCCTCCCAGAACAAATCTGGTACCAATTGATCCGACGCCGGAGGGATAGAAATAGATAGAACTTATTTGGTGTGTGCACAATCAAAGTCGATCTTCGGATCATTGCGTGGTAAGCAGCGCCACTTGCCACCGCACCACTTCCGCCTGCTGACTAGTGTTTATGTTTTATTAATGCAAAAATTCCGTAAAGTGCAATTTCCACTGAAACTAAAGGAAGGTTCAAATTAAATAGGTGAATATTATTAGATAGTTTGAGTTAGAGATTAGTCGAGTTAAATCAAATTAAATTTTGCAATATTGATTTATCCTGGTCCTAATTTCTTAGTTTCTGCGGGACTTATATATGTATTCTTTACACAACAACAGTATTTATTCACGATATGACGAGTAGTTTTAGACCGCCACGCGGCCGCACACATCAATTCTTCCATTGCAATCGCTTCTTTTGCACAAAAAAATAGGTGTGAAGTTCTTCAGGTATGTGGTCTACAACAACGCATGGAATTGTACTCGGTTGGAACGGACCTCCTTATACATTTCAACACCACCAATCCAGCCAAGGCCGATCCACGAGGGTGCGTTTCAACGTTCAAATCTTCAAAAGAAATGGGCCGCGAATATCCAAGGGTAAACTCTTCGGATATCGCTAGAAGTTAGTCCTATAGGGACCCATGAGGAGTCATTGTGACTTTCCGTGTGTGCCTGGCAATTTGAGGGATTTCACGAGATGTTTAAAATTTTCTTCTGTTCCTACTTTCTACAACCTTCCCCAAACCTCCCCACGGTTGGACAGCACGCTCCTGAATAATTATGGCATAATTTTGGGATGGGAGGAGGAATCATGAGGTGGGTAATTTCTGGAATGCTGGTAGTTATTTAGGCTAATTTCTTCGACGCACGCTCTCCCTGTGCATACGACCCATTTTTGCTTTCATAATGCTGCTGTAATTAGCTTCGATTTTTTTAGCCTTATGATCGCTGTGGAATGAACTTTTGAAGTCTTAAAATATTGTTACACCAGTTTAACTCCGCAGTCCATCGCGCGTAGCAAACGGTGAGCTTCAGCACAACAGGGCAGTATAACGAAGATCAGCTAACGCACTTGACGAAGCAATTAACTGTTGGGTTCTTCAGCGGCGGGCACAACTCTCCATAGGCTACTTATCTACTTTCACCAAAACCTACCGTGTCATGCGCGCGGTTGCGTGCGGAGCTAAC